GGTCTTATACAGATAAGCAGAGCACTGGAACTTCTTTTAAACAGGTTTAGAAAAACGAATTGGGCTTCAGAAGTCTACAGAGAATCAGACAGTTGGCCATGTTCAAAGGAAACCCAGTTCAAAGGACACTGGTTGCTCTGCAGTTTTAAGTCCTCCAAGTCCAGCCCAGAGGTAGAGAGGAGCTGTCAACTAAGCATATTCTGCCTAAGCAATTTCTTTCTCGGAGGAGGGGTCCTTATCGGCTCATTCTTATCTAACTTTTTACCCTTTTCCCTGTGTCTGCAATATACATTTTAAACATGACTAGCTGCATGGCTGGGATTAGCTCTTAATTTGGTGCATATGAGATTTTCTTTGCATCTGACAGATTCTGTCGTAGGCCCTGCCCTTCTTACACTACGATATGCCAGGCACTGGTACAGGAGACAGAGGATGTGTAAGAGACAGCAGCCCCCATCTTGGAGCACAGGTTCCGGAGGTTCCAGGTCTGTGCCTCCTGCTGGCTGGGCAGAGCAGTGGCTTTTGATGAGGCATTGCAGGTGACAATGAGGTAGCAGTGAGTGATGCCCCAAGTGATGTTAGGGCACAGCTGAGATGGATGGAAGGCAGCTCAAGACCCCTGGGCACAGTCTCCCTGGCAGAGGAGATTTGAGGAAGACTGAAAGGGCTTTTGGTGTGGCACACAGGACAGGCATGGGGCCAGCGTTTCAGGGAGCGAGAACCTCAGTGAAGAGGACACAGGCAGAGGCCACCCAGAGCTGACGCATCCTTCAGTGCTGGATGTACTGTCCTCTCTCTGGGCCCAGGCGGGGACAGGCCTGGGGGCTGACACCTCCCTACCCCGCCCTCCGGAAGCCTGCCACCCAGCACCCCTGACCAGCCCCACCTCCCCAGTGACCCCTTCCCCAGCCCACCCCGTGTGCCCAAGTGTGCTGCATCCAGTGGATGAGACAGAGTCCAGGGCTCCACAGCGTGGACTCAAGTCAGTTCTGACATCACCCCGATGCGAGTGACCACAGCCACCGGCCAGCCTAGGAGGAAGGCACAGTGGGGTCCGTTTGCGATCTCTTCCCCAGGGCCAACCCAGAGGCTTCAAAGGTGACCAGGCAATGAAAGAATGAATGGCTGGGTACATGTGGAGGGCAGGAAGGACGGAAGGAAGAGGCAGGCAGGAAGGCAAGGTGGCAGGAAGGGAGCAAAAGGAGAAGGGGGGGGAGGAAGCGGAAGGGGAAAGGAGGGAAGGAGCAGAGGGCGGGAGGGCAGGTTTCTCTTCCCTCAGGTCCCAGGAAATTCAGGCTTACGAACAAGAAAATCACACTAAGGAATGCGAGGAAACTATCGTTCATTAAATAACACGCAACGTGGAGCATCATCTGCCGGACATGCGAAACAAATGTGGCGGCATCCCCTCAACTCCACGGGAAGATGAGGAAGGGCGAAGGGCCTTGAGGGAGGCATGAAGCTGGGTGAGGAGGAGGGCAGAGGAGGGCGGCTCGCGTCAGGACTCATGATGACGGAAAGCTCTCCCCGGCCTGCCTGGTGCAAGGTCCCCGACACAGCCCTGAGGACACAGACTCCGGATTCGGTGCCCAGACATGCACGCCCAACAGAAGAACCAGAGCATCGGCCCAGCAAGACGTGGGGGGTGAAGGAAAGAGGAGACAGTGTGGGGGCCAGGATGTTCTCCAGGTAGAGAATCAGCCCAGAGCGGGAGCCAAGACCCAAAGGGAAGCAGACGTGGGGGAGTGTGCGCGAGACTCGGGAAAGACCTTGGCCGACTCACGATGCCTGGAGGGTGACTGGGCCTGCCCACAGTAAACACCCTGCTGGCTGTGTGGCAGAATCTGCATCTTTTAACAATGTCCTTCCCTGCAGCAGAGCAGCCCCTCCAGTGTAGGAAGTGTCGGGGCTGCTGTGAGGTAAGCAGCAGGCTGTGCAGCTGAGCTGTGGGAGGGGCGCCCGGTTTTCAGAGAATCCAGGAGAGTACTAGGGGACGTGGCTCCAAAAGGTGGTAGGGCTGGACAAGGGGGAGGGCTCCACGTCAAGGAAGAGCGACACATGGGACAGTCCTGGCAAATGTGGCCCCGGGAGAGAGCACAGGACTGGCGAGTCACTGATGCGAGGACCTGCACTGTCTGCCCACCCAGCCCTAAGCAGGGCCCTGACCCTTTGTGACCAGATGCGGGGACAGCACCTGGCTTGGGCTGTGGTCCTCTGATTGGGGGATACAGCAGGCACAAAGCAGGAGACTGAAGAACTGAAGAGTTTTAAAACTCCTTCAAGCCCATCTCATATGAGCACGGAAGTTCCACAAGTGGCATTCCAAAAGTACTTTCCACTTGGTCTCCACAACACTGCGCATGGACAGCCAGCCCTGGCTCGAGGCGCTATGGACATCGAGCCTGGTACAGCTCACAGGAAGGTCAGGGGCTGTGGAACGGAAGACCCTGAAGTGGTCAAGAACAAACAGTGGACATATGTGCCTCACAGTTCTGGGGACCTGCAAGTCCCCCAGCCACAGTGCCGCAGATTTGGTGTGTGGCAAGGGTAGCTCTCGGCACCACCACGGCACTGCACCGGGAATCAAGGTGAGCCTGTGCCCTGAAAACATCCCCAGGGGGTTTACACGAAGAGCCGCACATGCGACCCTCTTTGTGACATGGGGCTGCACACCTAGGGGTTGGCCCTGTGGGGCTTCCTTCCTGGCCCTCGGGTGTTTCTAGTTTAGGGGGAAAGCACTGGATACTGACAGATGGAGAATAGGAGAACTCACCCATTTTCTTTGCATTTCTATGTTTTCTCAGAGAAATGAGGATGGGCATGGGAAAACCTCAGGTGTTTTCTGCTCCTCGCTGGTGATGGATGAAAATGGAACGCTGCCTGCCTCACCTGCCTCTCCATCTGGGGTTTTCTACCCCGTGCGACCAGGGCCACAATCACGACAGTTTTAGGTAAAACAGCGTCTAATGTATTCCCTTGCACTGCGGGGGCCTCACAGATGACAGAAATAAAGCAAAATGAGCACACCAACACAGCCCATCACTCAGCCGCTTGCACGCAGAAGTTTGCCCCTCACCCTGCCCACGCGCTCTGCTCAGCCCAAGGCTTGGACCGGCCGTGGGAGCAGCTTGAGCCCCAGGGCCGTCCACGCCCCTACAGGTGATGTCAGGGGAATTCCAGCCATGGCTGCTGGCGTTGCTGCGTCAGCTACACAGCCCTGCCAGCCCTGCTGGCGACAGGAAATGAGGGCTCCAGCTGCAGCTGTGCCCCTCAGAGCCCCGGCCTGCGGTTCTGCTGAGTTACACTTAACCTAGGGACTCAGCGCTCGAGTGTGGGCTGTGTCTGAGCTTCGTCAGCCCAGAGAAGTTTACCGGGGAGAGTTCTCAGGGGACAGCAGCAGGGGAAGGAGAGGAGAGGAGATGAGGGCTGAGGGGTGGCCCACGAGAGCTGGAGTAGACCCCCAGGGTCCTGCTGTTCATCCTTCAAGCATGGCAGGGGGTACCCCGAGGAAGGGGCTGAGGCCAGAGCAGGAGACTCCTGGGCTCAGGGGTCCCTTCCTCCTGAGCACAGCCTCTCAAAGTGCAGGACAGGGCTGTCTCCTAGCTGATGTCCCTCCAGGATGGGACCAGCTCTCCCTGTCCCCTTGTCCCTCAGAGCCACAACAGTGCCTGGCACCCAGGAGGTTTGCAATGAATACTCGTTAGGGAGACCCATTACCGAACACTGAATATCAGCATAAAGCATGAATAAAACACCACATAATTAAAGAAAAAACGTCCCTGGTGAGTTCAGTGTGATCAGCCAGAGAGAATCAGGCAGAAATGACAAGGTCCCGGAAAGAGCCCAGACTGTCCCGTGATCCCACGTCCTTCAGCCTGGGCGTCTCCATGGAGGAATGAGAGGGGCTGAGGGACTCAGGGAGGACACTCTGGGTTCCCAGCTCTGCTGGCTGAGGTCTTTGTGGTGTTGACAATGGCAGGGTCCAGGGTCACTGCTGTGGTTGCCTGGGGCCTTTTCTCGGTCAGTCGAGAGCTGAGAAGCCCCCAGGGGGGACAGACAGCGACCAGGGGAGGCCAGGACAACTGACCACGGATGGACAGGGAGCAACAGGAATATCCTGCAATTTACAAAAATCAGCAAGTGGTATTTCACCCTCAAAGTAAAGGAGCTAAGAAAGATTTTTTGATACAGGAGACAGAGTACAATTTGGAAAAAAGAATAAAAATAATAAGAAAAAAATCTCACTACCAAATTTCTTTCCCATTATACTTGTCCAATATAGCGAAGAACTTTTAAAATAAGGCAATTATTTATTTATTTTTTTTGTGTTTTTGAGACAGGGTCTCACTATGTAGTTGAGACTGACCTGGAACTCACAATGTAGCCTCAGCAATCCTCCTGCCTCAGCCTCCCTAGTGCTGGGATTACAGGCATGCCCCACCATGCCCGGCTCAAAATAAGGCAATTATTAAGCAACACATTTGTGAGATAATTAATTTAAATAGCCCAAAGAGTCCAAACAACTACCAAAACTGCCTTCTACATGCAGGCACACCAGGCTTAAGTCCACCAACTTGGCTCACAATTTCCCTTGAGATGCTGTTACACACCTTGGGGCAGTGACAAGAGCTGTAAGAATGGCTAAGAAATATCCCACGAGCCACACTTAGGTGTCCTAGTGAAGCAAGAACTCTGAAGGCGAGCGCCGAAGGACGTGTCCAACACTGCAAAATCAGTACTCATTCGCCTACCTCAGAGGTATTTCTGGCAACCAGAGTATTAAATCTGATAAGAAAAAACCAGTAAACGCACACGTATGCCAACATTCAATTATATGCAAACAAAATGTACGCGTTCGATATGTACTGGCTACAAAGTATCTTCAGCTGGGTTCTCCACGGAACGCAGATCCTGCCTCTTCATTAACTACAGAAACACCACTTGGACCTGCACTCCCACCTTAATGGAGCCCTAGCTCCTCAATGACCACCCTCATCTGGCAGGCGTGCCGACCCCTACAAAGGCACAGGGAAAGGAGCTGCGTCACCTTTGAACTTATGGAACACCGCCCACAGCTCCGCGATGTCGGTGGCGAACGTGATGTCAGTGTCCAGGACGATGACCCTCTCCAGGTCGGCAGGGAGCGTCTTGGTGAGGACGAGCTTCATGAGGCCGTAGATCCCAGAGTAGTGCTTGTTCGGGATCCAGGAGACTTCAGACTGCAGCGAGCACGGCGGAGAGAGGGAGGAGAAAAGGGGAAATCACCACATTAATCTTCGCTAAACCACGTCTGAGATGTAAAAAGTATCCAGCACAAACTCGCTGAATAAATGATTACAATTTTTTTCTTACAGATGAGTCCATGTGAAGTTTTTTGGAAGAAAATGTATCTGAATCATGACAGAAGCAAAGTAATAGTTATGAAATAATTGTGACATGCAAGCCTTTTGCTGCAATTCAAAAAATTGTCATTAGAGAAACTATGCAAGTCCACTGGAGAAAAATAAAGGTACACAAAAGGTAGACACCGAGACACACAGCTTGAATCATAGGTGTGTACTCCTTCTACAACCAGTCCCTCCTGTCCCCAGGTGGGAGTGTATTCCATCTCTGTCACCAGCGATTCCAGTGACTTCTACTTTGAGGACAGGGTTGCATCCCTGGGACCAGGCTGTTACAGGACTGGATTTGTACTCAACACGCACACGACGGTGCTCAGAAGAAAGCAGTGGTCACACACAGGAAGCACCAGCTTGACGACTCTGTTTCCATCTGTGGCACTGGCCCAAGTAAGGGAAGGTCAAACCGCAGTGCTACACCGCACGGCAGTCAGGAGGCATTACCGCACCGTCCCGGAGACGGCGCCACCCCAAGGCCGCACTGCCCTGCCCTCGAGTTCCCGCCTGCGAAGCCTGAGCAGCATTCACTAAACAGTAGTATCTGTACTACTGAACGGCACTTTTCTACTGTGTCTATCTGTACCGGCTCAGCCGGGTCGAACAGGAGAGAACGTCCGTCGTCTTTTGTTCTGAGAAATGCACAAGGAGACCCTGTCAAAATCCACGAGAGCCCGCACCTGACAGATCAGGGTCGCTCACGAGGGCGGCGAAGACGACCCCAGGACTTCGGACCTAACAGAGCAGCCGAGAGCCCACGGCAGCCAGATGGGCAGGAAGGTGGGCATTCCAGCACCAGTGGGGTCCAAGACGATGACGAACGGGACGCACCCCATCCTGCACAGGGGGTCACTTCTGAAGGGCAAGGGGAGCCGTTCACATGTCTCATTCCCAAGACGCTCACTTGATACAGACCCCACTAGTGGGGATGGGGTCACCGCTCAAGGCTCCAAAAAGACGCATCGCCTCTGTCCCTGTAAAGTCCATTTAGAGGACGATGTGCATTAAGAAAAAAACCCCAAACTTAAAGGCAAAACCCTCCGAGTTTTATTCTGAGATGCTTATTGTCATATTATTAAAGTAATGAAATGGCAACAATCCCCAAACCCCTGAATTAGTGAATTAGAACACGGTACACTTTCATCAGAATGCATGCCGCTATGACGTAAGACATGTAGCTAAAGATAAAACTTAAAAATCCCATATACACTACAAGAAAAAAGCTGAAGCTTGTTTAAAAACCACAATGTGTTATCAAACAACACCAAACTGCCTGCGACCAACAGATGCGGAGAAGAATAAAATGACAGACGCAGGATACCCAGTTACAAGGGCCGGTGGAGTGGTGGGTGTCTCTACAGCCATGTGCACGCACAGGCCCGTGCTCACACACACACACGTGAGCTACTACTCATGAGCCCCCACTCCTGCTATGCAGCAGACTGAGCACTCCGTTCCTGCTAAGTCCCAGGGTGAGGAGGGGTGGGAGCGCAGGATGCCGGCTCCCAATGTCCCGTGACTGCTTCCTATTCTCTGCTATCATGGGCCCTTTGTGTGGATGAGTGCAGCTCTGATCAGAAGCCAAGGAGACACGCTGATGGGCTGCGTGGCTCGCCACAAGTCCATCTTGGGGCAAGGAGGACCAGCCTGGTAGCTGTCATCCCTGCTGCTTTGCTCCTGGGCAGCGAGGAGACAGGAGACAGGAGACGGGCTCAGGTTGGGGCTCCAGCCTGCAAATCGCGCCTGCACTCTCACACCTGTTTCTCCACCTGCAGGTGGGGATGGTGGCTGTGTTACGTGCAGAGGACTCAGGCGGCCTCTCCAGCTTCCCTCCCTTAGGTCCACGCATCACACGCATCTCCCAGGATGTGTTTTCTCAGGCTCTCTGGCTTCCGCCACAGACAAGAAGCAGGTCCTGCACACCGTGCTTTCAGTCCCCAGAGAAAGCAGAGCTCACAGCGGACATCGAGGACAGTGCAGTAGCAGGAGGGCGCACGGAGCTGCCTGTGGAACCGGGAGGAAATGTGCACAGCACACCACCTACTGCAAGGCCAGCGGCCGGGATGCACACGGGGAGGCAGCCACATCATGGGCCACCTGGCAGGAGCATGGAGACTCAGCCACGCCCCACCCTGCCTCCACCTGGCCTATCTGGACAGACAGCAGTGGGAAAGCGATGGGTCCTTTACCATCAGCAGTCTTGCTGCTGACAGGGACAGAAACTGAGCATGCATAGCACGGTGAAGCTCAAGCCTCCCGTGCAGCAGGTGCAGGTGACACCTGGGAGGGTGCGGGTTCTGGGCCAGGACGGCACACTCTGTCGGCAGTCTGAGCTGAAGCAAGGGCTCCCAGGGGCTTCCCGGCCTGTCCCTGGACCCCAACACCCTCCCCTGGCAGCTGTCACCTGGCGAGCCATCCCCAGGTCTGAGAAGGCAGCGTGCTTGCTACAACACTTCTGCCTACAAGCCCGGGCCTCTGGTCTCAGCGCCACTTTCCCCTCCCCTGAGACTCTGCCTGGACTAAAGCCTGGCAATCAGCGGTCTGCACACCAGAGCTGTGCTATTTAATCAGACCTTTGATTAACTTATTCTTCTATTTTGGTTACCATCAAAGCAGGAGAGCTCAGTGCAGATGGAACACAGCACACTGGGTTAAGCCATCTAATTAGATTGCCTCGGTGCCTGGCTTTATTTTTAACACACGTGAGGCAGGCGGGTACATCCTAGACCGGGAAGAGCACAAGAATAATTAATCTCAACACGAGCCCAGGCCTGAAGGTCGCCCAGTCCCCCAACTTAATCCATAATCAATTAAGTCCGAGTGTTCACTGAAAGGTAAAGGAAGCTTTCCGGTGAGCTTGTTCTCAGCGCCCTGAGGAAGGGCGGAAAACCAAGGGCTTTGCGGGGAGCGATGCTGGGAAAAGCCAATACATTCGTTTAAATGGTTCATCTGGGAAGCGATCGGCCCATAGCCTGCCCGTGTCCACCCCGTCTATACCGTGCTCTTCCTCCAAGTCTCATCCCAGAAGTCACCCTCTGGTCACCACCTCCCCACGGCCAAAGGCAGGGCCGGGCTCTGGAAGTGGCTGTCCCCTCCTGCCAGCCAGCAGACTGCCGCGCTGTAAGTGTCCACGTCTCTCTGGCTGCAGCTCCTTGGGGTGGGAGCAACGGCTCTTCCAGAACAGCCGATGGATGCGCAGGAGGATAAACCATAGTCTGAGTCCCAGCCCCTCCTGGATGTCCACCAGCAGGGAGCAGCTGCCCCGCGAAGGCCGAGGTCCACAGTGAGGGCTCTGTTAGGGGCCGAAGCCCTGGCGAGGAGTCACTTGCTCCCGCGAGCCTCAGCTTGGGTCTTCTCATCTGAGGAACTGCAGCTTTCAGTGACGCCGTGACACTGTGGCAAGGACTGCAAAGCATTCGGCCTGAGCTTGGTGTGTGGGGTGCTACACTCACAGAAGAATGTGCCCCAAACGGATCCTGGGAGTGCTGGGCTCTGCAGCGGATTCACCCACTACCTGCGTGACTTCTTGATGTTAGCAGGGGACTGGGAGGGGGTGACCTGGAAGGGGCGGCTTGGCGTCCAGCTCCTCCCTTCCCTCTGCTTCCTGGTTGCCTGAGGCGAGCAGCTGTGCTGTACCCGGCACTTCCTGCTCTGGAGCCAGGTGATCTCCCACCCAATCCTCCAAAAGCCACGGCCAAAGTAAACCCCTCCTCCTTTCACTTGTGGGCGCAGGTTGTGTGCTGGGGACGTGAAGGTGGGAAGACATGGCGCCTCTGCATCCGCAAACCCCTCTCACTGTGCACCTGCCAGCACCACCAGATTAGAGTTTTCGGGTTGGAGAAAAGCAAGGGATTATTATGCTGCGTGGGACAAGAAGCGGGAGGTGGGTAGGGAGTTGGTTCTGTGGGTTAGGTCAAACTTTTCGGTATGCAGGGTCACAGAAGCACACCCCGAAACCACTGGGAATATGGAGCCCCCACGGTCTCCAAGATGAACAGCACATTCCGGGCCTCTTGCAGCCCGTGGGGCAGGGCAGCGGATGCTGCAGTCCCAGGGCCATTGGTCTCCCTGACCCCAGCACCCAGGGCCAGTTCACCGGGGCCATGAAGGTTATGGGCTGACCACTTCTCAGGGGCCGAGGAGCCGCCGTCAGAGGGGCGTGAAGGGTCCTGTGGCCCCATGCGGCCTCCAAGTGCATGCTGGAGGAACGGCAGCTCAAGGAGGAGCAACACCCCATCGTGCTCTGCATCGCTGTAAATATGCCAAAGGGTTCGTGTAATTAAAAAGATCATAAAAATGAAAGCCAGGCTCATCTTAATGGACAGACTATTATCCTTGCAATGGTTGTTAATAATTCTAAGCAGCATGGCTGAAGCTTTAATTAGCAGAAATGCAATTGTGCCCAAGATTACCACCTAGTGCACTTACATAAAGGAACAAAAGCAACCCAGGTTCTAAAGGTGTCCTGAAAAGCAGGGGGCGGAAGATGCTCACGGGGGAAATTCACCTTCCTAAGCCAGCAGTTCTATGCTGGGCGCTCAACAGTGTTTCTACAAAGCAATGCAAAGGACTTCAGGGTGTCTGATGCCCGTGTCCCATGAAAACGGCACAGAAAACATGAGCAGAGGGGTGACAGGACATGGGTCACTGACACTGACGTCCCCACCATGGATACACAGGGGGACAGAGAGCAAAGGCCGCTCTGGGCAGGAGGTGACCCCCGGAGATGTGGGGTTTCAGAGCATGTGGGCCCAGGGACAAGGATGACAGAATGTCCTGCTCGGCCCGGCTGCTGGGGCTGTGGTAGCAGTGTGAATGTGCCC